TTTTTTTTAAACAATGAAAACACTATCATGGAGTTTTTCTTTTGCTATTTGGCAAATGGGAATGCAAAAAATATATATTTGTGGTAGTCTCCCATTCACTGCTATAGAAGTTTACCCAACTATGACGACTTCTGCTGCTGAGAAATGTGAAAAAGGTCCATTGTTCTGTACAGTGTTATTGTTCTTAGAGCCCGGGACAAATAAATAAATGCTTTGGTATACTTTGGAAATTGGGTTCCATGACGTTTGGTCTAAATTATTTGAGTCCAAATTGAACATGTAAGATAGATAGATAGATAGATAATATAGGCTAAATAGCACATTTACTAATGGGAATATTTCACTGATCAAATTTTTAAATCAATTTCATTAAATCATTTAGTAAAAACAATACTTTTTGGTGTTATTGAGTGACAACATAGACTGGATAATATTAGACACTCTTGAACAAAGTATTATGTACCTTTTTTGTTTTCTTGTGAATTTTTAATTCTTCCTAATACCTCCTTATGGAGATAAATGTAGCATTAGATCTTAGATATATTTACATTTATATTCTATAAATGTCTATAAATGTAAAATTAAATTTCAAGAATAAATCTCTCTGAGTTACATTGATAGAATATTCGGCCTTTAAAAGCCATGTGCGTTGATTCTCGTGCACAGCCAATGAAAAGACAGATTTGAGAATCATGACTTGACAACACAAAGCTGCTCTGATGTACAGTAGCATTTATTTTGTAGAATTAAAGCCAATCTAAAAACGTTAATGCTGCCTAGCAATCGCTGCTTTTCCTATAGCAAATACAACTTCCTTTAAAAGCCATGTGCGTTGATTCTCGTGCACAGCCAATGAAAAGACAGATTTGAGAATCATGACTTGACAACACAAAGCTGCTCTGATGTACAGTAGCATTTATTTTGTATATAATTAAAGCCAATCTAAAAACGTTAATGCTGCCTAGCAATCGCTGCTTTTCCTATAGCAAATACAAATCGAGTTTTTGTAAATCCACTGAAGCACTTTGACTGGTTGACAAATCTCTCTTCTCCCCTTACCGTTTTCTGTTTTTAAAGTCCTTGCATTGTTTTTCAAAGAGGCATTTAGCCTATGCAAATACAGTTTGTTCAATAGCAAGAGTAAAAAAAAAACGCTTCAGCAAACACAGGGATTTTATTTGAAATATAGTGAAATGTAGTAATAGCTAGTCAGAGATCTCCAGTGTTATCATCAGCGTTCATAATTTTGATATTTGACACCCTTCACATTTAGAATAGATCTTGTCCTTCTTCGAATGCTGCCACACAAGCCCTTAACTGTGTAGTAGTTTGTATATATGCCACAACCTCAGATGAATAACATATAATCATGAGAAGATAAGCGCTGGTTCTCTCAGGTGGTGGTGTCTATTTTGCACGCTTCACACTAGAATGAACAGATCAATAAAACTAGTGAGTGGAATGTTATGGAGGCATTGGACTTTACCCTGGTGTTCATGAAACCACTTTTGAATGATTTTATCAGTATTTATGGGAATATTGCTAATAATAATAATAATAATAATAATTCGTTACACTTATATAGCGCTTTTCTGGGTACTCAAAGCGCTTTACATGGAAGGGGGAATCTCCTCATCCACCACCAGTGTGCAGCATCCACCAGGATGATGCGACGGCAGCCATATTGCGCCAGGACGCCCACCACACACCAGCTTATTGGTGGAGAGGAGACAGAGTGATGAAGCCAATCAGTAGATATGGGGACGGTTAGGGGACCATGATGATGGACAGAGGCCAATGGGCACATTTTTATTTGATATTTGATATGATATTATCAGATTGGAATATGGGATTGACTTGAGAGGGTTTACGTCATTTATTTAGATACATATTACCACACTGAGCACTAATTAGACCTGCCTGCCATGTCATTACGGATCGTCTGTGATTATAGACATTGAGGGTTGTAGGCAACAGTTGGCTTTGTTGATAAGTAAACATGTATGAATGTAGAAACCTGACTCATCTGGCCACAGTACATTCATACGCATTCTGCTCAGGGGTAATGGTTTTGTTCTCTTTACAACAGATTACGAGTCTTTGTGCACTGGCCTTGGTCAAGGGGTTTCTGAATGGCAGCTTAGTCATAAACCACAGACAGTCTTTTAATGTGGCCGGGTCATTGAGTTGCTTAGTTAGTTTTTGTGGGTGTGTTTTTGTGTGATTTAGCAGCTGCCCTATTAATGAGCTTCAACTCGAGACTAGTAATTGCTACCAAACTAATGCAACTTAATGTTTCAGTTTTACTGTATTTTTTTTAATAAACAGTGATTAATCCGATTCATTTGAAAATTGAAATGGTGCCAGGTAAAAGTTTGGGACAAGTTTTGTTATATAGATGCTTCAAATGTAAATGTCTTTTTAACATGATGCTTCTGTTCTTGGCATGATTTACCACAAGATGTCGCTGCTGTTTCACCTTTAAATCACTGAATGATTTTTTTTGTGTATGTGCTTGAATTGCCTTCCGGAGTTGAATTACTGAAATAAATGAACTTTTCCACGACATTCTAATTTATTGAGATGCACCTGTAGGTTGAATTGTTCTTAGTTACTTTTATCATTTCGCAGTAATCGTATTTACTTTTTTTTTTAATAAATAAGAAGGTACAAAGAACATATCAAATGGTTAGAAGTTAATCACTTTTTTTTCTGAGAAAAAAAAATGCACTGTGTGAACATAATCCTTAAAGAATGTATTTGCTACGATCACTTAAAGGAATAGTTTACGGATAAAAAAATAATGTCATTATGTGCTTATCCTAATGTTGGAGGGGGAAATATAAGTGAGTAATAACGTTTATTATAGTTTTACATTTTTTTGCGGACATCTTTCTACACTATTCATTTTCATTTAATGGAAAAATACACTATAGGACATTTTTCAGAATTTCTTCTTTTGCAAAGGAAAAAAAGCAAGTTATATTTGGAACGAGACGAGGGTGATATGTGGTGACAAGATGACAAAAGTTTCATTTTTTGTGATGAACTATGCCTTTAAATTTGATTCTCCTGTAACACTATTTAATAACGCGTGCACACGATCAAAACGTAACTAAGCTACCGATTTTTGCACGTTTTCCATTATTCTTTCATTTGCATCAAAACAAACATCAAGAAACACATCACAAAAC